ATTTTAACATCTGCTTCACAAAAGGTGAATGCATGCCATATGAGACTATCACTTCCTTGAATCTCCTCAAATCTAACATTTGCACAGGAGTCTATTCAGCTCTTACACAGCCTTGGGGATATCTATCATTTGGCAGTTCTTGTAAGGATACTGGATAAATTAAGGTTGGTTGTTTGAAAACCTTAGGCTGTTCATCTCTAACCTTATAATGAAATGCTGAGATTGGTTCTCCTTTAAATTCCTCTGTCTGGGTCTGAATATCTCTATAATCTGTTTTAATAAGTTTTTCTAAAGCTTTTATCTTGACACTCATATTAACCAAACTTTTTAATGATAAAACAAAAATGATCAAACAGATAATATTTATAATTGACATTATGTAAATCCCATCTAAATTATCTTCTCTTTTAATTGCTTCATTTTCAAACTGTCGAGTGCATTATCACATAGAAATGTAACTCCCTCCATTGTAATAGTGTTTCCCATTTTTTAATGTGGGGAAAAAACTCTTTTAACTAATTCCTTCCTTTAAGAGTTCCCAATTGTCTCACCAAATCTGCCAATGATGATGATGAAGATGTGAGGCTGATTGCTTCTTTGTAGAACAGTGGAAGACCAAGCGGTTTTCAGGGCAGCTACCTAGGTGGTAGCAGCCTGAGGAGGGCATCTAGGAAAAGCCCACAACTCACCAGGAGAAAAAAAGCTAAACAACCAGCTATTTACATGGGGGAATGTGCATGGGGGCCCAAACGCCTATGGAGTTTGTTGCAAATAGGCTGCAACAGAAAAATCCCAAAGGAAAGGAAAACCTAGCTGGTGGGGTAGTGACTCTGACTGCATGCAGCTCTGGCCTGTGAGGGTGGCTGCAAAGCAACAAGCAAATGGATTTTTCATGAATTCGTGCCCTAAAAGTTGCATGCCAGATGTAACACACAAATCTAATTGGTATGCTACAATTGGTTATTTTTTAAAAATCAACAAGATTGAAAAACTTTTTGAAATTAACCGAAAGAATATTCAAATTGATAAAATTAAAGCTGAAAAGAAAGACATCACAACAGATGCCAAGGAATTTCAGAGAATCCAAAAAATATAGTTTAAAAATCTATATTCCAGCAATTAAAAACCTTAAGAAAGGGATGAATTTCTCAATATATGTGAACTACTAAATTTAAATCAAGATCAAATAATCAATTTAAACAGATCAAAAACCACAAGTGAAAAAATCAGTAATTAAAAGTCTTGAAAAGGCTCAGGCCCAGATGGATTCCACACAGAATTCTTTGAGAGCTTACAAGGAGAATTAACACCAATACTTTTCTTTTAATTCTATAAAATAGAAACTGAAGGAACATTTTGTAATACTTTTCTTTGAAGCCACTTCTGATACCAAAACCACACAAAGACCAAACAAAAATAGAAAATTATAGACTAATTTATTTTACAAACATAAAAGCAAAAATTCTCAATAAAATACTTGCAAACCATATTCAAGAACACGTAACAAAGATTATCCAACACAATCAAATTGACTTTGGCTTAAAGATATAATAGTTCAACATACATAAATCAATCTACCACATAGACAGACAAGATCTTACTACAATGCCCAAACTATTCTTTAAAGTCCATAGGCTCATGTAATACTCCTGCCTCAGTTTCTCAGCCTCAGCCTTCCCAGTAGTTACAACTATAGGTACATGCCACCTAGTTTGCCACAGGTTAATATTCAGCAAATGAAAAAATTTGGACTGTCAAAAAAACTCTGAAGAGTTGCAGAGAACTGGTATTGGATGTAGTCATGGCTGCCCAACATATGAATGTACTTAATACTATGGAACTATACATTTAAAAATAATTAAAGACCAGGATTGGTGGTATATGTATGGAATCCAGGATCTGATAGGTTGAGGCAGGAGGATCTTGGGTTTGAAGCTAGCCTAAGACACAGGGTAGGACCCTGTCTCAAATTTAAAAAAAAAAAATTATTGAACAGGGCATAGTGCTGTAGGATAATGCCCTTGTACACTGGTTTAATAAAATGCTAATTGGCCAGTAGCCAGGCAGGAAGTATAGGTGGAGCAAGCAGAGGAGAGAATTCTGGGAAGTGGAAGGCTGAGTCAGGAGTCACCAGCCAGACAATGAGGAAGTAAGATGACAAGGCAGAACTGAGAAAAGGTACCAAGCCATGTAGTTAAACATAGATAAGAATTATGGGTTAATTTAAGTGTGAGAGCTAGTCAGTAATAAGCCTGAGCTAATGGCCAAGCAGTTATAATTAATATAAGCTTCTGAGGGATTATTTTATAAGTGGGTTGTGGGACTGCGGAGGCCGGGCAGGACCTGAGAAACATTCGACTACACCATAGTGGTATATGGAAACAGAAACAGAAGAATGGAAATTCAAGGCCATCCTCAGCTATGTAATAACTTTGAAGCCAACTTAGGCCACACAAGACCCTGTCTCAAACAACAACAAAAATGCAGGTTTAAGAAGAATTTTATGTACAGTATATCACAATGAAATGAAAATCCTTTTAAAATGTAAATGAAAGCCGGGGTGGGGATGGGGGTGGGGGTGCATGCCTTTAATACCAGCACACAGGAGGCAGAGCCAGGGGGGGTCTCTATGGGTTCGAGGCCAGCCTGGTCTACAGAGCGAGATCCAGGACAGGCATCAAAACTACACTGAGAAACCCTATCTTGAAAAACAAAAACAAAAAAACAAACAAAAATTGTAAATGAATATATCAGAACTTTATATTCTTAGACTTTACAAACAAATCTAATGTGTCTCTTTAAAAAAGTCCACAAGACAGAAAATTATTTTAAAACTCCAGAGCTACAGAGAGTACACCTTGGGTGAATTTAGTACTGGCTTAGATAAAAAGAGGAGATATTAAAGGCTTCCCACCTCCTGGAACATAATGATCAATCAGCCAAGGCATCCTCAGCGAGCTACCACTGGAAGAACGTGTAAGTTAGAGCTGCTTCTGCTATTGTGTACAGAAAGGGCTGGACGTAGAGATTATCCTTTTCTTTGTTCAGAAATAATCAGTTCACTAAAAAAAGATTCTTACCACTCCCTTGATATTGGATGAAAATATTAAACACACCTCAGGGCCCACCCAGAACCCACTATACTTTTTAAATGGCCAGCCATCAGTAACGGTGTTAACTCTTCTGTAAACGTGTCTTTCAATAGAGACCACAGTGCTCCACAGACATGAAATACCAACTTGAGATTGTTTTCTTTCCACATGTGCTATCCTTGTAGTCAGGTCACAAATTATTTTCTGAAATGAAATGTTCAGGAGAGTTTACCCTGTACCTACCACAGAGAATGTTCTTTCCATCTCTCCTTGAAACTTCAACAGTATGTTAATGTTGTGATTCTTACGTTGTTTTCAAAATTAGCTGTGGCTTACCTACTCTTTTCCCTGCTGCTGCATTATTTCCACTCATTCCAATACCACGAGCAGACTACAATTAAAACACAAAACACCTACAGAGGTGAGTCAATGCAGAACAGATCACCAAACATCAACTACTTGTATCCTATTACTAAAATGCTGATGGGCATCCACTGTAAATTACTTATTCTATTTACGTTTAAATTAACTTGGAGTCTAATCTTGCTTCTTGTGATTATTTGTCCTTAAACAAGTAAAATCTGATGGCTTAGATAAGAGTCTTGACACTGGAAAATGCCTTAATGAAACTATGTATCACTGAAAAAATACAGAATAACAATGAACCTGGCAGTAATGCCTGTAATTCCAGCACTTAGAAGCCAGGATCAGAATTTAAGGTCATCCCAAGTACCAGGCCAACCTTGGCTACGTGGGAAACCTGTCTCAAAAAATCAAAAAACAATCATCAAATATATTTCCTACAAATCAGATAGGCATTTTAGTGAAATGTATGGGAAAACAATTTAATTGTAGGCATCTTTATTTATGTAAATAAAAGCCTAAATTTGAAATTGTCATTCACTACAAGACTTAACTAGAAGAATCAACTGAAAAGAAAATACTTACTAGAAAAAACTCTGTAGGTTCTAACTGGGGAGAACTTCTCCTAGTGCTTTCATCCTGGAAGTGCTGGAAGTTTGTAGACAACCCAATTCCAGAGGGCCGGAGCCTGCCTGCCCCACGCGTGCTCTGCAAACTGTCTCTGCTTGCACTCCGTGCCAGTGAAGCCAAAAAGCCATTGTTCACACAACCAACAGGCTCTTTGGAGGCTTTGTTAGCCATTTCTGTGATATCTCGAGCTTCGACTTTGGAAATAACATCAGATCTTTTCCCAGGCGAATCGACTTTAACGCCACGAAAGCGAGCAGTCCTAGAGAAAGAAGAATCGGCTATGGTTCGAATGTCCAATTCCCGCAGGGCATTTTGTGAAGTAGGCGCTGAGGGGTTGCCAGACTCAAAACCTTTTGACTGTCTCTGTGGCTTCACCAGAGAATTATGTAGTGACCCTGGTGCAGCACAGAGAAGTGGCGACAGGAGTCTGTTCTTGTGAGAGCTCGACTCTCGGTGGTTAAGAATTGCATTGTCTACAGGGTCACTGCTCAACACTCTTGCCACATGGTTCAGAGGCTGCTCTGCGGCTCTCAGCCCTCTATCACCTTTAGCGAGTGGGAACTCTGGAGTTACCTTCCCTACGCCTTCTACACCACTGTTCGAGTGCTCGACATCATTTCCTTCTGCAAATGGGGCAAAAGGACCTACTTCTGTCAGGAGCAACTCTTCAGACACACACTCTTCTGACGGTGGAAATAAGACGACATCATCCTCATTATTAGATGGCAAGTTCCCTGAAAGGTGCTTTGTCCGCCTAGGCAGGGATGATCCAAGATGAAGTACGGAATCTGCAAGCTCTTTGTCATTTTCCAGTTCTATGTGGGTCATCTGAGGTAGCAGTCTGATGCTACCCGTGGGATGAGACAGTGTGTTAATCTCCCAATCATCCTCCTTCAGCAGTTCGTTTCTGAGAGATGATACCGGTCTATCCGCAGGGGCCTGAGCTGCTGCAGGACTTGAGCCTGCATTCCTGGATGTTTCAGGGAGATACGCATTCCCAGGAGAAGGTAAACAAGACTGCCCGATGTGAGGCAGGACTCGTAACAGTCTGTGCCTGGCTGCTGCTGTGGAACTGCTGGGAGGTCGAGGGGCTACAGGTGGGCGAGGTTTTAGCTTGACAACTTTCTTAGGCTACAAGAAAAGAGTGCACATGTAATTCCTCAACATAGTTATCACTGTCCTTCAGCAAGAATCAGTGGGGAAAATGTTACTTACCGTATTGACATTTTTGTTACCTCAATTTACAGTGCTCAGGAAGGATGGGTGTGGTGTTCCACACCCATCATGTCAGCACTTGGGAGGCTGAAGCAGGGTGTTTGTCCCGAGTTTGAGGCCAGCCTGGTTTACAGAGTCCACTCCATGTCAGCCTAGGCCACAAGATGGGTCTTCTCAATACAAAACAACAACACTGAAATGCTTTAAAATGTTAAAAATCTTAAGATTATGATTGGGGATTTGTTATATTACTTCATTGACCATAATTTTCTGAAGATGTTAAAATAATTTTGTTTTATTTCCTGACAATTAATTCTTTCTCAGGCTTTTATTAAGCAGAAAATGTTGGTTCTATGAGATATGGCATTTTCCCAGTAAGATGACTGTGTATAGTGAGGTACTCATAACAAAGCTAACAGAACTAAACTGCTGACTTGAAAAGGCTGTCCCTTGCTGGTGTCCGTGGACCCACATTTCAGGAAAGGGTCTTCCCTAACCCATCACAGCACTTGAGCCTCAACTGCTTGTGCCACCGAAATGTTTATGATGAATACCTGCTTTTCTTCTGAGGCTGAAAGGTGTGGATACTTAGCAGGCAGAGGGCACACACAGGAACAAGCCTCAAAACAGAAAAGAAAAAAAAAGAAAGGAAGGAAGGAAGGAAGGAAGAAAGGAAGGAAGGAAGGAAGGAAGGAAGGAAGGAAGGAAGGAAGAAAGAAGTCCCTTGTGCAGATGCTAATGAAGTCCCTTGAGATCTCACCCGTTTTGTCACAACTCCCTGACAGAGAAACCAAGCAGTCTTGAGATGTCTTTGGGAAAGGGTCTGATGCCTGTGCCTACTTCACCTGGGCGTGGGTCCATATGCTTCTCCCTCGGTTAATTTTGCTTTTGTTTCCTTTTTCTGTATAATTGTCTTAGCCATAATGCAAGTGCATACTATATACATGAACCCATCATATCAGTAAACCAAAGACAAGACCTGCCTGCCACCCCAAACACAGATATGTGTTTACATATCACAGAAAGAGTGAAGTTCAGAGTTCAAGAGAGGAGCCTCAGCTCTTCAGCAGAGTGATGGTGAGCAGAGAGAGGATGAACTGGAAGTCTGATAACATTCCAACAGCCTGGCCTATTAGAAATACATACTGACAATTCAGTACGTACCAGTTGAGAAAAGGAGAACTAGAAAGGCTGGCTAGATGGAAGTCCCTTGCAAAGGGAGCTGGCTCTTATAGCCACTTTCACCCTGAAGTCATTGTCTTGCCAACCTGCAGCTATATACCTACCAAAAAATAATTTTTCAAAAATGGAAATTGTTTTTGAGGCTTTAGAAATCAGCAATAGTTGCTGAAACCTAAGTAGTAACATGTATCCTCCCAAGTGAATAAACACAAAAAGATCCAAAGAGATCAACAATACGAACAAATAAAATTACCCATGACCCAAATCATCAGCAAACAGACAGAGAATATGAACTTCAAATTAGCTCTAATGTTGAAAATAATCAAATGGAGGAGGCTCATTTGCAAAGCTTCTGCCTGTAGTGACAGGCAGGAGTGCGGAGCTTCAAAAAGAAGAGAGATAGGGCAGCCTAGGGCTGATCAAACCAAATAAAATACACTCGCAAAAGAGAAAATCCCACCTGTGTAAATACCAAAAAAAATTCATATCCAGGATATGAAAATGGGCTAATAGAAGCCAAAAGGAAACAAGCTGAAGTTGATTGGGATCTATGCTAACGGTTAAGTGTTAAGGAGGCTCTACTGTGAGAGAGGGGTATAGAGAAAGAGATATAAATAAGAGAATCAGAAAAGCCACCTGTTCTTCTCTGCAATGGGAGTGTCAATGATTGAAAACAACACAGAGTGCTCTTGAAATAAATTACCTCCCTGCTTAAAATATCCTTACTCTATGTATTAGCCCATAACTCTTCATACTTACCTAAATAAAATTATAAGAAAAAGAACAGAAAAGGGGGCAACAAATCTATATTAGAATAAAACAGGAAGTGAGAATCAGAACATTTTAGCACATACAAATTCTCCCCTAACATAACATAGCCAGAGAAAACTTCACCACAATACTCCAGTCTAAATTAAACGTCTTTAGATTAATATTTGTACTTTTTGTTTATTAATGTGCATGGTGTGTGTGCATGTAGGTATATGTGTGCAGATCCATGTGTGTGCGTGCATGTAGAAGTCAGAGGTTGATATAGGTGTCTTTATCAAAGGGTCTCTTTCTGAAGCTGGAGCTCACTGATTACATTACATTGACTGGCCAGTGAGCTGCCTGTCTCTGCTGGTGTTGCAGATGCAAGCCGTCATGTCTGGCTGTTTATGTGGGCTCTGGAGAGTTGAACCCAGGTCCTCATACTTGCATGGCAGGTACTTTAGCCAATGAGCAATCCCCCGAACCCGGCTGGTTTTGGAGAAAGGGTAAGTGAAGCCCAGCCTAGAACTCATGCTTCGACCTCTGCAGTGTGAGGATTACAGGAGCATGTTCAGCTTTTGCAGATAATATTCAAAGAATACATCAAATCATAAACCCACAACCAAGATACAATGAACAAAAGAATTAGAAGACACTATTTAAGCTGGCCAGACTTAAAATAATCAATAAAAAATGGAATCATTCCAAAATGAAAATTAAACCATAAGATGCCCAAAGAAAACCAGACTTTTTTTTTGTTGTTGTTGTTGTTGTTGTTGTTTTCAAGACAGGGTTTCTCTGTGTAGTTTTGGTGCCTATCCTGGATCTCACTCTGTAGACCAGGCTGGCCTCAAACTCACAGAGATCCGCCTGGCTCTACTTCCCGAGTGCTGGGATTAAAGGCATGTGCCACCACCGCCTGGTGAAAACCAGATTCAACAAGACATTTAATCAGGAGTACTAAGAAAAGGTATAAAAACATCCGAAAGAGTGAAAATAAAACACAAAAAAATTTTAAAATGTAACAGAAAATAGTTACTATAAAATGAAGTCCCACTATATGTATAAAGGAAGTTACCTACAAACAAAATGAAATAAAAAGCTAAACATTAAAAAATTAACAAGTTATAAAAAATAACAAAGTACTCTATGTTAAAAGAGCATAAGCATGCAGTGAAACTGACCCAGAATAGTTCATCTCCAAAAAGCCAGGGCTGGAGGTGTAGCTCAGTGTCACAGTGCTTGCCTAGCCTGGGGGAGGACCTGGGTTCGAGACCCAAGACTAGGGGAGTGAGAGGGACGTGGTATAAGAGGAGGGTAAGAACCAACAGATTCTGGTAACACACATGGCATCTCAGCACTCAGGAAGGTGAGACTCAAAGATTACAAAATCAAAGCCAGTCTGGGTACATAGCAAGAACTTGATAAATAAAATTAAATTAAACATGAGAGGTGTGGTGGTTTGAATAAGAATGGACCCCATAAGCTCCCAGAGTGGCTCTAGTTTGAAAGGATTAGGAGGTATTTCCTTGTTGGAGAGGTGTGGCCTTGTTGAAGGAAGTGTGTCATTTGGGGTGGGTTTGAGGCTGCAAAAGCCCAAGCCAGGCCCAGTGTCTCTCTTCCTGCTGCCTGAAGACCCGGATGTAGAACTCTCAACTTCTCCAACACCATGTCTGCCCGCAAGCCACCATACTCCCCACCCTTCAGAGGGCTACAATAAAGTAGCCCTCTGAAACTCTAGGCAAACACCAATTAAATGCTATCTATTATAAGAGGTGCTGTGGTCATGACATTTCTTCACAGCAATAAAACACTAACTAACACAGGCGGACACATAAAATTTTAAAATGAAGCCATTTACGAAGAAAAGTGGGGTGCATTGGCAAGAAGACTTCAACTGCAGCACAAAAAGCAGCAGCAGAACAACATTGTTAAAAAGCCCCAAACATTTCTTATCTGAATAAATCATCGCTCACCAGTTATAGAAATGATCGCTGAAAGTAGTCTTCAAATTATCACCTAAGGGTTTTTTTTCCCTTAAGTTTTAGACTTGTGGAAATTCAGTACTTACAAACCTTTCCTTTCCTGAGGAATTTATTAAGATATGCAACTAACCAAAAAAGTATGGGAAAAGTTCAGTGAAAAGACTCCTCGAAACCATGGCATTAACAATAAAATATCAGCAGGGCTAAGATAGACAAATGATTTACATTACATATTCTTTAATAGTAGAAATGCTGCTCATCTAAAAAATGGAAACAGAATGAAGAAACGAGAAAGTGAAGTAAGTTTTCTGACTATCATTTAGCTAACGTGCAGGAGGCAAAAGGTTTCAGGTCTAGGGATGACAACAGGACAGCAAGTGTCCCCTGACCTTCAGGATTAGCACAACCCAAGTGCTACTGACACTTGAGAGACCACATAGCAAACACTCCTGTAGGGTGAAAACAAACACCCAGAAACCTTTTGTGGGCTTTCATGCACCAGGGCTCTCATTGCAGAAGAAACCAAACTGACACAAATAATCATACCTAAGCCATCAATGAGGCAGGTCTTAGAGATAAATAACTGTAAAACTTCTACTCCGAAGTTGAGAATAAACTATCTTTTGAATATACATCAGGCACACATGGAAATATCAGATCTCATTAATTAAGTTCTAAACAGCATAACTATAAATGACATTGTCTGATTTCCATGCAACAAAACTAAAAATTAAACACAATGAAAGTCAAAAAGCCTTAGCCGCCAAAACTTATCTAAATTTTCTCCACCACTTTTGAGCTAACAGGATATCCTAAAATGGTAAACTGAAAATATTACCAATTGATATAATGTTTCTGTGGATGTATAATACAAAGAATACATCCTTTGTGTGAGTGACATTTATGCCAAAGAAGTAACCAGTATCTTATCATGGTGTAACTCAGATAAAACAAAACTGAGGAATAATTTATAAAGCAATGGGATTATACTCCTTAAAATATCTAATAATTGTTATCAGTTGTGTAGCCACTGCTGAATTTACCAGCTTCCACTGGACAAGTCCAAATTCATGGTCACATAGATAGATGGTCCTGGTTAAACACAGTGGGTTACAAAACAAAACAAAAACAAGAGAGATTCATGGGTATGTTGGGCATTGGAGAGGGATGGTAAGGAGATGGGAGAGGGTTACTATGAATTGGTACATGTGTCAAATTATCTAAGAATAAAGTGTGTGTGTGAAGCCAAAATCCTAAAGAGGTATTTGTACCCATGTTTATACCACCAATATTCACAACAGACAAAATGTGAAAGCAACCTAAATGTCTACTGATAGGTAAATGAATGAACAAAATGTGGTAATATGTGCAATGGAATTATTCATTCTAAAAAAAATGAGATTCTGACATATGCCACACCATGAATGAACTTCAGAGATGTCACACTAAATTAAATAATCTGGCCACAAAGACTCTGATATTTCACTTACATACGGCATCTACAGTAGAGAAACTCACAGAAATGGAAGTGGAATGGTACTTGCCAGACATTAAAGGCGGGTATAGGAAGATGGTTTTAAGGAATACCAAGTTTCAGTTTTGTAAGATATCATTCTGAAGACTAATTGAACAAAGAGATAAACATACTTAACACCACTAACAGGATTACGCTTAAAGACAATTAAAGCCCATGTGGTTGCACATTCCTGTAGTCCCAGCATGTGGGAGGTAGAGACCAGAAAATTCAAAGTTCAAGACCAGCCTCAACTATATGTTGTGTATGAGGCTAGCCTAGGCTATGTGAGACTCTGTCAATAAATAAATAAACAAACAAACAAATAAGATTGGTAATAAATTTTATATATTTTACCATTATTTAAAATAAAATAAGTTAAAAATAGTAACTAGGTGAAAGTTTCCTCTCTCAATTTTGCTGTATGATAAAAAATTGAAGAGCACTTCCCCTTGATGAATAAAAATCCTGAGAAAAATATTAGCAAAAATTTAAAAACATAAAAAAAAACATCATAACCAAGAGTGAGTCATGCCAACAACACAAAATTATTTCAGTTTTAAAAAGGTGATTGGCCTGTGCTATCAGAAGTGCTGTATTCAGTGTGCAATATGTTTCAACTTCTCTAGGTCTTCTTTGACCTGGAAGTTACTCAGAAGTGTGTTATTTTGAAACATCAGATTTTTTCCAGATATCTATTATTGATTTCCAAGTTTATTCTTTTGCAAATCAGAGCATTTTTTAATGATTTGAATCCTTCTGAAATTTATTAGAATTTATTTTATGTACAAAATACTGTTTTTGTTTGGGGGTTAATGTTCTACATATATTCCCTTAAAAAGAAATTCATATTCTGCTGTAGGGTGAAGCATTCTGCAAATGCCAGCTGGGTCAAGTGAGTTGCTACTGTTCTTCAGGTCCTTGGGAAACATTTCCATTCTCTGTCCTAGCAGATATGCTGGGTGGAAATCCTTGGAGATAAGCACTCATCTATTTCTTGTAGGTTCTGTTTCATATGTTTCAAAGTTCTATTACTACGTGAACAAAAATTAGAGCGTATTTTGTCAATTGTTCACCATCTGAGTAAATAACAAATGATTGTTACCCAAGTTTAATATCAAAAAGAAAAAAAAACAGAAGAACACTGTAGATCTAAACTAGAAAGAAATAACCACCTAAAAGTTTTGGAGAAAACCACGGAAGCAAGTCTTCAAGACCTGTGATAGGAAAATATTTCATAAAAAATTATTAAATACCAACCATAATAGCAAAACTGATAAATTATAATACATTAAAATTAACAGTATTCATCAAAAGTGTGTGAAAGAGAAAGTCACAGAGTATTAGAAACTGCAAACCATACTTCTGATAAAGACTTTATACCATACATATAAATATATGTGTATTGGTTGCTTTGAGACAGGTCTCATGGAGTCCAGACTAGATTTAAGCATGCTGTACAGCTGAGCCTGAGTTGAACTCCTGATGCTCCTGCCTCCACCTCTGAAGGCCTGGTATTGCATGAGTTCATCATCACATTCAGCTACAAAACACATTTTTTAAATGTCTACAAATCAATAAATAAAAGGAAGATAACATAATTTTAAAATGAGCAAAATATTTGACAATGTAAAAAGGACAGAATTTTAACCAAGTAAAGAATCAACATTTTTTAAAAGTTAACATTATTCCTTATAAGAAAAACTAAATAAAAACCAGTACACAATCCTAAGAATGGTTAAGAAGAAACACTGACGAATGTTAAGTGTTGGCAAGGACTGGCACAAACCAAAACTCTTGTGTTATTAATGGCAGTCTGAACTGGTTGAAAACCTACTCGAAACAGTCACTGTAACTCCTTTCTGTCTGTCTGTTTTGAGGACGGTCTCACTATGTAGCCCAAACTGGCACAGAACTTACTAGGCAGGCTAACCTAAAACTCAGGATTTCCTCCCTGCACCTCATGAAGTGTAGTATACTATGGTACACATCAAATACCTGGCTGTTTGGTATAAAACATGTTATCTTTCCTAGGACTCTGTAAGTTTCCTGCTAATGATACAAAGAACAAAGGGCATGTGTCCATTAAAGAATGTATAAACATGTCCCAGTGGCTCTGTTAATAAGAGCCAAAACTCAGACACCTGAATGCGTATCATAGAAAAGAGAAAAACAAAAAGAGCCCCTGTGTAGTTGTACAATAAATTTAAAATATTTTTGAAGAAGATAAACCAGAATTTTATAAAAGACTGTATTGTCTATGGTGTTTATTTATATAAAGCAGACAAAAATTATTTGTGGAAATATGTGTAAAAATGGTGGTTATTTTAGAGAAGACTGTAATCTTTTACAGAAAAAGGCAGGGGAACTAGGTGTAGCAGCACATGCCTTTAATGCCAGCAGAGGCAGGCAGTTCTCTGTGAGTTTGAGATCAGCCTGACCTATATAGTGAGTTCCAAAAAACCAGGCAAACACAGTGAAATCCTATTTCAAACAAACAAAAGAAAAAAAAAGAACTACTTTGAGTTAGTTTTAAATAAGTGTATTTTAACTGTAAAAATTCATCAAACAGCCTAAATTTTACTATTATTATTATTATTATGATGATGATGATGATGATTAGTTTTAAATAAGTGTATTTTAACTGTAAAAATTCATCAAACAGCCTAAATTTTACTATTATTATTATTATTATGATGATGATGATGATGATGATGATGATGTGATTTGCCATGGTATGCATGGGGAGGTCAGAGGACAACTTTCAGAAGTCAGTTCTCCCCTCCTACCTTGGTAGGGATTGAACCTGAGGTTGCAGGCTTATGTGGCAAGTGCCTTAATCTGCTGATCCATCTGTCAGACTTCAAGGAGTGCAAAGTCTGTGTATTTTATATGGGGAGGCACTAACAGAGTGAAAAGAATTCAAGGCATAGTGCAGCTGTGTGTGGGGTTAGGAAGAGAAGGAGAGGGGAGAGAGAGACAGAGACAGAGACAGACTTATATCCAGAAACAAAATAAGTCTCACCCAATACTGGAAAGAATATAAACTGGTTATTCACTTTGGAATTACTTTAGAAAACTGGCAGTTATCTACCAACACTAAAATAGTAAGTATCTGCTAGGCATGGTGGCACATACCTATAATCCAAGCACTCAGAGGACTAAGGGAGGATTGCTGGGCTACAGACTAAGTTCTAGGCCAGCCTAGGCTACAGTATGCCTGTCTCAGTGCCTGTAATGAGTAAATCTTGAAATCATATTTTTAAAAGTAATTATTGAAAGGTTAAGCTAACTTTTAGTTCCCCCTTTCATGCTACAGCTATGACATTTTAAAGATGAATTATGCTTAGTGTGCATAACCCTTTCGGGTGTGTTGCTATACTAAAAACCTCAATGTTCATTTGTTACATCTTAATAAATAAGCTGAGACAGAAACGTGCAGTGAGTAATACTTTATAGTTTTCCACAGTAACCAGCAGCCCTCAATGCCGTGAGCCCTGCCGCCACTGTAAGCTAGAGAAAAGCTTGGCCAAGAGCCAACAGCTTCACCTTTTTGCTGAGGTTCATGTTCTCCATCTTAGCCTTCAGCAGCTTCATCTTATTCATAGTTATTGAATTTTCAATGATCTGTTGCCCAGAAGGAGAAGGCTCCGCTTCTTCATCCTCGTCTGTATACAAATTATACACAGAGCCACCACTGCAAGGGAAACAGCAAGTGCTTAAGACATGCGCGACGCCTGCTGAGACTAACAGTGCTGTGGACAACAGCAACTATAGAGCCTACTAGGTGGGAAATACAAGCTACATTTTGTCATTGTGAGTAAAAGAAAATAGTTCAAAATGTGTCTCTTGCCCAAACTGGCCTGAAACTTGCTCTGTAGCTGAGGAAGGGCTTGCTTGCTCTTGGGATCCTTCTGCCTCCACTTTCTGAGTGCTGGGATTACAGGTGTGTGCCACCCACCTCCAGTTTTTTGTAGTTCTAGGGATTGAATTTAGGGTTCTGTGTGTGCTAGGCAAGCAGGTTAGATATTGAGCTACATATCCAGCACATTCAAAACATATTTTGGGGGCAAAGGACAAAGTTCAGTGGGTAATTTGCTTGCCTTACAAGTATCGGAGTTCAGTTCCAAAAACCCCATCTAAAAAGGTGGGTATGGAGGCATGGGCTTGTAATCCTAGCACGGGGAAGGTGGAGACAGGCACGTCCCTGAGGCTCACTGCCAGCCAATCTATCCTCTCCCATAGAGCTTTAAGCCAAATGAAAGACCCTATCTCAAAAAACAAGGTGGACAGCTCCTGGAGAACAAACCTGAGGTCTACTTGCAGTCTCTATGAACACACACATGAACATACACCAACACACAAGTAGCACACAGTCACATGTGCACAACACAAACATTTCTTAGGAGAAGACAGTTGGGAGAAAAGCTGCATCACTATTTAACACTGCTGAAATCGAGTAAGCTGAGAGACTCCACAATCGCTGCAGCACACGGACAGCACTGCCTGCTGGGGGCTGGACGCTTGCTCTATCAGTGCTCCTTGAAGACTGTTTCTCTACAAGATCATAGAAGGAAGATATTATGGCCCCTTTTAAATGAAAAACTGCAATGAAGAGGGACGGGACATAAACATGCTTAGTGGGGAAAGGTGCTTGCCACTAATCCTGACCACCTGAGTTCAATCCCAAGCACTCACAGGTGGAAAGAGAGAACAAATTCCTCAAAGTTGTCTTCTAATCTCCAGATGTGTGCAGCGGCATGCACACACCCACCCCAGCACTATGATCTTCAGATGTGTGTAGCAGCATACACACACCCACCCCGGCTCTAAATCATCTCCAGATGTGTGCAGCAGCATGCACACATCCACCCCAGCTCTAAATAATCTCCAGATGTGTGCAGCAGCAGGCACATACCCACCCACCCCCAACACTAAATAAATAAGTGAAATTTAAACATTTAAAGCCTAGAGTAGTGATGCAGCCAATAATCCCAGCACACAAGACGCATTAAGTGTGTGGATCTCTGTAAATTTGAGACCAGACTAGTCTAGATAGTGAGCTCCAAGCCAGCCAGGGTTGCATAGTTAGACTGTCTTTTTAAAAAAAAATTATAAACTAGTGTTTTTAAACTAATGTTTTCATTTATTCTTTTGAGACTTCCAATATATTTTGATCATATTCATTACACTTCCCTAACTCCTCCCAGACCATCCCTCATCTCCCTACACATCCAACTTCATGTTCTTCTCTCTTAAAAACCAATTTT